CGCCGTCTTCTGGCCCCGTGCTCTCCCCTCGCCAATCCCTTGACCCGTTTCCCGCCACCGGAGTGGCGGGGAGGCCTGGGCCGGCCTGTTGGCGTTGTGGGGACCCGGGGCACTTTATTGATAGGTGTCCACTGATGGAGGTGGACACCTTCATTCGGGTCCCCTATGCGCCACAGGCCGCCCCCGATCAGACTGGGCTGTATCAGATACCTGTAAGTATCGAGGGGGGTACGTATCAAGCTTTGGTGGATTCAGGTTGTAACCAAACCTCCATCCACCAAAGGTTGATTCAGCCTGGGGCATTGGATAAGAGCCGCGAGGTTATGGTGCGGTGTGTGCACGGCGAGGTGATGGGATATCCCGTCGTGCCAGTTATGATCCAATTTAGGGGACAAAAGCATAGTGTGGAGGTGGCAGTTAATCCGCACCTCCGGCACCTGCTGATTCTGGGAACTAATTGGCCGGGGTTTCAGTCTTTATTGGCATATTTGTGTGCGGGTGCTCCTGGGCAAAAACAACGGCAACGGGCGGGGGCGACTGTTCAGGTGGGCGAAGCTGTGCCGGGACCGTCGGCGGCTGTTTCAGGGGAACAGAGCGGGGCTGAAAATAACATCTTTTCAGACCGTGATGACTTTCCTCTGGAACAGTCCCGAGATGACACGCTGAAAAACGCGTTTGAGCAGGTCCGCGTCATCGACGGACAGCAGGTTCGGCCAGAACAGCCGCTCACGTACCCGTATTTTGCCGTGATTAAAGACCGGTTGTATCGGGTGACCCAGGATACCCAGACAAAACAAGATACAACCCAGTTGTTAGTTCCTAAGAGCCGTCGGGAAATGCTTTTCCAGGCGGCTCATTGTAATCCGATGGCTGGACACCTCGGGCAGGCAGCCACATTAAATCGTTTAATGACCCGTTTTTTTTGGCCGGGCATTCATGAGAATGTGCGCAGGTGGTGTGCGTCTTGTCATGAATGTCAGTTAGTGAACCCTCCGGCCCATAGTAAAGCACCATTGTGCCCCCTGCCGTTAGTCGAGGTCCCCTTCGAGCGAATTGGCATGGACCTCATCGGGCCATTAGAGCGATCAGCACGGGGGCATCGCTTTGCATTAGTCCTGGTGGATTATGCAACGCGATACCCTGAAGCAGTCCCACTACGCAATATTTCGGCTAAAAGCGTTGCGAGTGCGCTGTTTCAATTAATCTCCCGGGTGGGAATCCCAAAAGAGATTCTCACTGATCAGGGCACGGCGTTTATGTCACGTACGATACGCGAACTGTATGAATTATTGGGCATTAAATCGATTCGCACCAGCGTCTATCACCCACAAACAGACGGCCTGGTGGAACGATTTAATCGCACGTTAAAATCCATGATTCGTAAGTTCGTGCGGGAAGACGCCAAAAATTGGGATAAGTGGCTAGAACCCCTCTTGTTCGCTGTACGGGAGGTCCCCAAGCCTCCACGGGGTTTTCCCCCTTTGAGCTTCTCTATGGCCGCCAGCCCCGCGGGGTTTTGGATGTCCTTAGGGAGGCTTGGGAGGACGGACCTTCTAATAGCAAAAACGAAATTCAATATGTCCTGGACCTGCGAACAAAACTCCACACTTTGGGGCGGCTCTCTATGGAGAACTTGTTACAGGCTCAGGACAAACAAAGTCGGCTGTACAATAGGGGGGCTAAGCTACGTAAATTTGCACAGGGAGATAAAGTGCTCGTATTACTTCCCACATCCAGCTCGAAATTACTCGCCAAGTGGCAAGGACCGTTTGTGGTTACACGGCGAGTTAATGATCTTAACTATGAAATCGTTCGTTCAGATAGGGGGGGAGCGCATCAAATATACCACCTCAACCTCCTTAAAAGATGGAATGAGGTGGAGTCAGCGATGCTGGCGACGGTGGTGAGTGGGGAGGAGGATCTCGGGCCAGAGGCGAATGTCAAAGTGCAATCCCTCCCTCTGGCCACTTGCGGAGACCACCTCTCGCCGTCCCAGGTCGCTGACATTCAGCAGTTACAAGTGGGTTTCGCAGATGTGTTCTCGCCCCTCCCTGGCCGGACGAATCTCATACAGCACCACGTTGAGACGGAGCCGGGCGTGGTGGTTCGCAGCCGGCCGTATAGATTACCTGAACACAAGAAAAAGGTAGTTCAGGATGAATTAGCGGCGATGCTGGATATGGGAGTAATCGAGGAATCCAACAGTGACTGGGCAAGCCCGATAGTTTTAGTGCCTAAAACCGACGGCACCGTCCGGTTCTGCGTGGATTACCGCAAGGTGAATGCTGTATCGAAGTTCGATGCATATCCAATGCCAAGGGTTGACGAGTTACTCGATCGGCTTGGCACGGCTCGTTTTTATTCGACACTGGATTTAACGAAGGGATATTGGCAGATCCCCTTATCTCCAATGTCCAAAGAAAAGACCGCATTCACGACGCCGTTCGGATTACACCAATTTGTCACCCTTCCGTTCGGCTTGTTCGGGGCACCTGCCACCTTCCAGCGCTTGATGGACCGGATTCTACGGCCGCATGCTGCATATGCTGCGGCGTACTTGGATGACATTATCATCTATAGTAATGATTGGCCGCGGCATATGCAGCATTTGCGAGCGGTCCTCAAGTCGCTGAGGAAGGCGGGGCTCACGGCCAACCCGAAGAAGTGTGCGATTGGGCGCGTGGAGGTCAGGTATCTGGGCTTCCACTTGGGCCACGGGCAGGTGCGTCCCCAAATTGACAAGACAGCAGCGATTGCGACCTGCCCGAGACCCAAGACCAAAAAGGAGGTTAGACAGTTCTTGGGGCTGGCAGGATATTATAGGAGATTTGTGCCTGATTATTCGGACCTTGCTAGCCCGCTGACTGATCTAACTAAAAAGGGGGCGCCAGATACCGTCCAGTGGACGGAGCAATGTCAGCAGGCTTTTACCCGGATAAAAGCAGCTCTGTGTGGCGGCCCGCTGTTACAGGCTCCTAATTTTTCTCTTCCTTTCTCTCTGCAGACAGACGCGTCGGACAGAGGACTGGGGGCGGTCCTGACCCAGGAGATAGAGGGCGAGGAGCGGCCGGTGCTGTACATCAGTCGTAAGCTCTCTAAGAGGGAGACGATGTACAGCACCATTGAGAAAGAGGCATTAGCCATCAAATGGGCCGTCCTCACTCTCCGCTATTATCTCCTGGGTCGGGAGTTCACCCTCTGTACCGACCACGCTCCCCTGCAGTGGCTCCACCGCATGAAAGATGCCAACGCGCGGATCACCCGTTGGTATCTGGCACTACAACCTTTCAAATTCAAGGTGATCCACAGGCCGGGTGCACAGATGGCGGTGGCTGACTTTCTCTCCCGGAGGGGGGGGGGGGGGGAGGCTGCCGGCCGGACGGCTCCCCGGCCTGAGTCGGGCGGTGGGGGTATGTGGTATGGGGGGCGTGGTTTAGCGCTGTCTGCGGCGGGAGAGCGGGGGAGGAGTCGAGCGGGAAGTAAGCGGGTCAAGTTCAAATGATAAACACCTGTCTGTAATTCCAGTGATTGGCGTTGGGAGAGGATTTAAGCGGGCCAGTTGGACACATCATTGAGAGAGACTGGAGCTCGTGTGCCCGTGTGCTGAACTGGAGAAGTTCATTGATCCGGACTGGAATCTAGAGGAAGCTGTGAATCAGCGGGAAAGAGTTTTTGTTCTGTTGTGTCTGAGATCTTGTGAAGTGTGCTGAGGAAAGATTATTACTTGTTTATCTAATAAAACACACAAGCTCCAGTATACGCCGACCCCTTGTCTTCTTCCATCACCTCCGTGAGTCCTGAACCTTGTCACAATCATTAAGTGCCAAAACCAACCCTTCTCTTACTTTTTAAAATCATGTTCGTTTTGTATTTTGTCTGATGATTAAATTATCCCCTATGCCGTCCTCTTTACTGTTGCTTAGTGAATTTTGTGCTCTTTAGCTACGGCAGTTAACCGTTTACTTCCGGCTGCCGTCGCCGTTCTATCAGCAGCTGTTGCTTAAAGTCCCTATTATTGGATATAGGCTACTGTCTACTTTCTTTGTTCTATGAAAAAGTATTTAGTCAAGTCACCTTTATTTAAATAGCGCTTTTAAAGGACAAGTTCAGTATTTTACAATTAAAGACCTGTTTTAAGATTGTTTCGGATGAAATAGAATGGTTAAGATTGTTTTTTAGACAGATGCTGTTGTCCTGAGAATTTTCGGATTCTGTGGTAGCACCCCCACACCTCTACAATGGTAGCATAGGTGCTACCATTTTAGTTTACAAAGATGTGAAACTCACCGAGTGGTCTGGGGTGTTCACTGATATGCTCACACAAAAATCGCTGCAAAAGATGCTTTCCAACAGGTTTTATCGTAGTTTTTGTACAACTCCATTGACTTGTATTGCATGTTGTGTGATGCACGGTATTACTCCGCCGCCGGAAATGGAAATGGGGTTGTTTGTATTCTTTCTGTAGTCTTATGTAGTCGCTGTATCGTAGGCTACACTAGTATCGTAGGCTACACTATACAAGTGGTTTGCTTGCAATTGGCAAAGGTGCATTATCGCCACCAACTGGGCTGGAGTGTCCATTATTCAAGCTCTCAATGGAAGAATGTACGGTTGTGCGGCGATCGGAAAATTAGGTCTAAAGTTTTAGAACGAATGGTAAAACACATGTTGGAAAGCATCTTTTGCAGCGATTTTTGTGTGAGCATATCAGTGAACACCTATTTTGCGAACACGCCAAAAACGGGAACTTCCGCCAATAGTTCTAAGAACTATGAAAAGCCCCTTATGTCGAAATAGTGGCCAATGAAAATGCTGAGAGACTAGTAACTTTGGAAAACCACTAGTCACAGTGGCTGGCGAGCAAAAAAGTGAATGTCAAGCCCTATATACAGTATGTATATCATTATATACCATTTCTATGAGATATCTAATTGGATGTGTGGCAGGAAAACTGCATCTGATTAGATGGGAGTAAACTGTTGGGGAGATAAAAAACTGACCAATGCACAGAGGAGATCGACAGCCTCCAGAATCAGCTCCTGATGTCCGACACGGGTCACCGCCAGCTCCTCCAGATCCTGATGCGAAATCTTCAGAAGCTGCTCTCCATTGATCTTCTCTCTCTCAAAGTTAGAAACATACTGCTGGAGACTGTCGTCCAGCCCTGAGGGACAGACAGAAAGTGAGAATGAGGAAGACAGAACACAAAGACACTCTTTCAGGGAGTGAGCGTGGATCCGCATGTGTTTTGACACCACAAGTGTCTGTGCAAACATTGAGACGTTGTGTCAATATAAGACATTTGCACTAGTCTGATACCGCTCTTCAGTGTTTCTCATGTACAAGTGCCAGTTTGCTAAACTGAGATTGTCATTGTGATATAGGAGTAAAGGAATAAAGCAAGGTCACACTGTCCTATAGTTTATATGTGAGTGAACTCTATGTGTGTGAGAAAATGCAGCCATGCTGGCGTTACTTCCACAAACACACAATCGGCACATGAGTTGTGTCTGACAGATGGCACAGCATGTTGCTGAAAAACTCGTCTCTTGGCAACTTTGCCAGTGAATTCCCAGAGAAAATTATGTCAATTTAACCCTTTCATATGATCTCATGTACAGCTGAAATGAGAAGAAAAATTATAAATATAAGGGTTGGCATAAATGGGTGAATATCACAAACTTGTCAAGACCGAGTCAAGGCCACATTTCCCCTCAAAGTCAAATTAGAATAAGAAATTCCATTTTATATTAATAATAATAAATAATAATAATAAATTATAAAAGAATAAAATAAAAATATAAATAATAATAATTAAATAATACATTAAACATATATAATAATATACAATTTTATATAACTATAAAATATAAAATTATATAAAAATGATATAATAACATATAAAATTCATCTTTATAATGTCATGCAAAAATTAAGATTTATCTTGTAAAGTGTTCATCATTGTGTATTTTATATGCTGATTTCAAGTAAATATAGTATTTTGTATTACAGTCATTAGAATCATTGCTCAAAATTTTAGTTAAAAAAAAATACAATCAAGTGCTATAGAAGTTTCCATTTGTTTATCTTTGACTTTAGTGATCTGAATGAAAAATTGCTTAAAAATAAATCCTACACCTTTTTTTGCAGCTAAAGCTTCATTACATCTTAGTCTTTATGCATTTTATGCATATTTTCTACATATTCTTTTAGTCACACTTTAGATTAGGGTCCAATTCTCACAATGAACTAACATAGTCTTAATTACAACTTTTGCCTCAATAAACTTCTAATTACTGCTTATTAATCGTTAGTAAGGTCGTTAAGTTTAGGTATTGGGTAGGATTAAGGGATGTAGGAGGGTCATTAATATGTGCTTTACGTGTACTAATAACAGCCAATATCATAGTAATATGCATGCTAATAAGCAACTAGTTTATAGTGTTACCGTTCTTTCTATCTCTGACCAGGACATGTTTAAGTTTCACTCTTATTTGACTCATTTGAACTGTATTTCACTGGAAGGCTTTGCACACCAAGCCTGGAAAAGACACAGTTGAAGCTTTCCCCCTCTCAGTTTTAGCTGAAACTCTTGTCTGAAGGGGAGGTGAGCTCAAAACAGCCTTCTGTCCTCCGTTTGCGGGACCGCAGTATAAAAAGTGGCTCTTTGTGGGGGGTGGACGCCCCTTTTAAAATCAAAGAGAAAGTGAGAAAAGGAGGCAAAGAGGGGTCAAAGGGCAGAGTTAGCGACTCCTGAATACCCCTACTGAGAGACAACAGCTGCATTCTCTGAGCTCAAAAAGAGAGACACAGTGTCAATGGAACCAGCAGAGAAAAGCTGCCACATACGAGAAAGAGTCAGCAATAATGGTCCACCAATGTAGTGAGAGCAAACTAACTTCAGCTTTTGTTATCTCTAATTCTCAGGGTATTCAGTTAAATAATCTGGCAAGGCTAAAGGGATGCAGGCATGTGCCGTTCAGTGTGATTGACACGAACATCTGTGACTGTGTGGATGTCTGTAAACTGGTGAAATGGTGAAAAGGTAGGTTAAGTTTCTGACAGATACATTTCCAAATCAAAATCAGGATTATTTTGAAAGAAGTTCCTTCTCCTCCAATCTTAGAGCTTTGACGGTCTCATGGATCATAAGAGATATGTGAAGAAAACAGTAGATGAAAGCACATGTCTTTGGGTGGAGGACTGTTTACATGGTCACATGCTCTGCGTGCCTTCATATCAAACATTAAAAGAATAGTTGACCCAAAAAAGATCATTACGATCCAAAAGGACCAGAAAACACCATATAAGCTTCATGAATATAACCCTTTCAATGTATCTTCTCATGATTCATTTCAAGTCTTCTGAAGCCACAATAGCTTAGTGTGAGGACTTCAAACCGTTATTCACTGACAATCTTCTCTTCTGGACAGCATGTCATTTCAATCTAAATAAGGTTGAGTATGATGAAATAATGACACGTGAACTGTCGTTTTCGGACAAACTAATAAGTAGAAGTTACCATCAAAAGGTATCTGTTGAAAGCTGACCAAAATAAAAGTCCTCAAGAGAACAACTTCTAATCTTGTTTAGAAAAACGCCTCAGATATAAACACTTACCCTGTGGTGGGTATATTTAGCTGAGATAATCATGTTCACAGTATCTCATGCTGTAGCAGTTAGGAAACTTGAAAAAGTTGGACTTTGACTTAATGCATGACGTTTTTCACGCGGGCTGCATGGTGGGAAAAAGCAAAGACTGTATATACACAAAGATTGGGAGAAAGTGCAACGCAAAATATGGTGGAAAAAGTCCCGCCATCTAAATAAAAGAGCCAATTCACCCTTCGCAGCGAGATTGATTAACAGGCGATCTGACCAATCCGCCATCCACCGAATTCGCCATTTTGTCCGACTAATGCTAAGTTCACACTACAGGATTTTAAGCCCAATTTATGCCTGATTTGCAAATCGTTGAGCTGGTTATGGTTATATAGTACAATCCTAACAATATGAATAGAAAAAAGAACAAAAACAATCCATTCACTCTATTGGTTCTTGTTCGAGGTTTCTGTTCGAGCCGATCGGAATTTGAACAAGATGCGCTGCGTGCTACAATAACAATTAATGAAAACCTTAGCAATACTAGTAGTATTATAATGGTGGTGGGGAGTTTAGAACATTTCATGTGTTGCTAATCTTGCGTTGACGTGAACTCAAACGTGACATACGTCAGGGATCAGGTAGCACAGAGGGGAGGGGGGGGTGTGTGGAGGGGCGGGATGAGTTTTTTAAAACTTACCTACTGTCTCGACCGATTTTTAACATCGTATACCATAGCTTTAAGTAGTCAAGATCAGTGGATTTGAACTCGAAAAAAAAAAAAGGTGTGTACTGATGTCTTTCCGCAGTTGAAACAACATTCCTTCTGATGTTCATTCATGTTTATTTGATGTTATAAATTACCTAGCAAATTACATAACAATTTAGTGATCGGTTCACTAAAGCGCCACAGCGATCTGTTACGAGTCACGACACATTTAAAAAAATTTTAAAAAGCCACAAAACGGTATATATTTCTTTAAAAAAGGACCAAATTTAAAAGTTAAGACTTTGTAAACTGCGCATGGGCACTAGCTGCTGAAAAATACACTTTTTAAACGCTATTTAGCATAAGAAACTTATTTAGCATTAGCAAGCTTGGTGAACAGCTTTAGAGAATGTAATGTTAGCCAATTCAAAAAGATTAGATCTGCACATTAATGAAATAGCAGCCTGAGAGGCGTTTCAAAAATGGCCGCCGAGTGACGGCCGGACTTTGGAAAACAGACACTGCAAAGCTCTCTGATCGTATCCACTGACCCCTCTTGTATCCAAATGACTAACAAGTTCAAAAGCTCTGCACCATAGAGCCAAAACACTCGTGTTTCAGTTACAAATGAGAGAGTAGAGTGTCTCTCTCTCCTCCATGGCCTGCGTTTCCCTCCCCGTACCCTGTCCCGGTGGAGTCTCTTATTAACAGAGCTGGCCTGCTTCCCATGAGAGACGGGCGCTGAGAAAGTCAGCTTGTGTACAAAAGGCAGTAGCAGTGTGTATTTCTAAAGCTATCCTACTGAGCCTTTGGAAACCTGAAGAATGTTTATTGTTCTCCGTGTGCGACTGAAACTCTTCCAAGATGCTCCCGAGCGTTGCTCTTCCACTCCATATCGAGGCCTGCAGGAATCATACGTCAGTCCATTTTTTGCCCTTTAGAAGAAGTGTAAGAAGGGAAATATGCAAACAAAATATTTTCACCTAAAACAAACTATGCGTCACACTGAGGACTTCACAGACTGTCTTCTCTCCTGCCTGGTCAAGTGGATCCACAAATATCTTAATTTCAAAAGAGAATGAATTCAGTTGAATCGCAACCACTTAAAAAATGGAGATTTTCCCGCTAGTACTTCCAGTTACCACTAAGTAGCCAGTTTTATCTTGCACTTTAACCTTCCATTGAATACCCAGATAGCAAACTGACATTGAATCAACGTGGAAATATGACATCGAAACAACGTTGATCTGACATTGTTTTGCTCATCGAATTAACGTTGAACCAACGTCAGACGTGTCATTCTTTCAAAACTAACTGAAAATCAACTTGAAATCAACGCGTTGTTTCAATGTTATGAAAGCAAACCAATTTTCGATTTTCATTTAGCTTTGAAGAATGCCGCGTCTGACGTTGGTTCAACGTTAATTCGATGAGCAAAATCAACGTTGTTTCAATGTCATGAGAGACGTCGTTTCCACGTTGATTCAATGTCAGTTTGCTGTCTGGGTAACCATTCAAATGCCTCTCTGTTTAAAATCCAAGCTGTATCTGTATTAGGAAGCACAAAAGAAACACTATTACAATACTCCAAATGCACTTTTCCCTCAAAGTCCAGAAACACACACGTAAGTATGCTAATTCCAGCTAAGTAATGCTAATACTCACACAAAGAAAGTGCATGGCCTTGTTGTATACTTGTATGTGGTTTAAAAACCTCACTTCTCAGTGGGTAGATAGATTTACCTTCAAAGGTATGTGACGTTAAACCACAGTGTTGTTATTTACATGATTTTTTTCTTGTTGCTGAAAGCAAAGCGCAAACCTAGCTTTGCAAACGATTTTTAGAAAAATCA